GGTTCCCCCGTTTAAAAACAATGGATTTTCAATGTCTTTCGAATTGATCATCCCTTGTTTTGACAAGTAGGGCCTTCTTTACTACAGAAAAAATCAGCTTCAAATATAGAGCGTATATGTATTATTCACGCTTGCCAATGATACCCCCATCTCGATGTCTTGCGAAATAAAGCTAGTTAGGTTCAAACCCAACTGAGCAACTAAACCACCACGGGGGATATTTTGTTGCATACTTCGTCTAATTGAAGGCGCACTGCCGTAGTGATGTTCTTTGCCGCGACGCATTACTGTATTAAACCTTTGCTGACTTGCTTACTGAGAGCAAGTTGCGGCAAAGATGGGATCAGAAGATATCCGTTCGGGGGCCGTGGCTAGGTGATGCATCCCTGAATCCCTGATCCCTTTCCCTCCTGGACCGTGAATAATTATTTCGGACAAAAACTCCCGCGTTTCGGTCTGTATCGGAGCAACGTCTCCAATTTATCAGGAAATACATGCATTACCCGCTGGGAAGCGTGTTAGGTATTCTGTTCTTGCTTACATTCCGCAACGCTGTTGACTCGCGTTTAATTAAGCCACTACAACGAACTTTAAATCGACTCGCCTCACGACGACAGGCGAATCAATCTCCGAACCTGCTTCGGGTGCGACGGCACTGTCAGGCTTATTCTGCTTCCTAAAATTGTGGTCCAGCGCGCAATTTTGGAGATAGCAGCCCTTATTTTGACGGATCTAGTGGCTTTCTTTGGAAAAGTTGAAAAGTTTATTGGGCCGAATGACTCCGCTAAAATGGCGAAATTGGCCGCACTTTGAAAATAATAGGGTTGTCGGAGACCAGTGAGTAGTTGATTCTAGTTGATGGCATCAAATCGGTTTATTGAATATACTATGATCATGGTTTACACTACCCGATTTATTCTCGTCATTGTTTGTTCTTAAGTATACCTTTATGGGAGAGTTTAGGCACGTCAAAAAGGAGGTTAGGTTTGATCAGGGCACGTAGCTCTTGGGGCCCAAAAGGGCAGCTAACCTATGAACTCGAATTATCCAGTGGTACTAATTTTCACAATTCTTATTAAGACACACACAATAGTAAACTGCGAGTGTAGGTAGACTGATCAGAAATGATAAAAGCACGTAAATAAAACATTGATTTCGCACGCATTTTCTCAGTTTCAAAGTCATGATCCTTAAATACGCTTGTATACAATGCGCTGTCGGCAATATTAATTAATCTTTCAAATGCATAGGTTGGCAGCGGCACTTTTCTAGTGATTTCCGGTTTACTCGTTATCGCCCTTTTGGGTCCTAAGAGCTCACTGGAAAAAAACAGACATTGGATCTAAAGTCCAGACTCTTGAAAACATTGACAAGAAAAAATACTCTTGATTCAATCAGATTTTTGCTTAAATCAAAAGGAAATCCGCTCGAATTAAGAGGCTTGGTTCTTGATTTAAGCAAAAATCCGATTGAATCAAGAGTATTTCTTCTTGTCGATGTTTTAAAAAGTCTGGACTCTAGATCCAATGTGTTTTTTTTTCCCAGTGCTACATAAATCGAGGTGTCCATAAGGTACTTTAGTTTGTCCCGACAAAACAGTGAGGCATGTGCGCAGTGGCAATTTCCGAATGATATGCTTTTCTTTCATTCGAACGTATAAACAATCGATCCGAGACGAGACAGCCTGCATCAAGACAGGATGCAACTATTTCTGCTTGATGAGAGTGCGGGTTGCCGATCCAGAAAACGAAGGCGCTTTTCACGGCCTTAGATCTGGCACCGGAGGCTGCGAGCGCCCGTTCATGTGCCGTTACGGCATTACGTCACGGCCCTCTAATTACGTTTGTCCGATAAGCGGGATATCCCTCGGGACCGACCCGGGACCCGCACCGCTTTACAGCCGACCCCGATGCCGGCCGGATAAATCCCGAAATTCCCCGTCCGCAACTGATATGTCGGCCGCGAAACTCGGGCAGCAGAGCGAATCTTCCTTCTCTCCTCTCGCCGTTGCATGATATCTGATTCGAGGACACAGAGCAACTGTATAGAATTTTATAGCGAATCAGGGGGTGCTGTCTCGGGCCACTATGCGGCTCAACCCTGAACGGGGTACGCAACACGTATATTCAAACTCGCTGGGGCAGGGACTTTTTTTTGACCGCCGATAATAGGTAAGTTGCACTGGTCACTGGTTTTTAAGTACTCAGTTTCGTGCGAATCCACCTGATAGCATCTTCTAAATTGACTTCATTGCATATCTTGTTTGACACAAACCCATTATCGACTGCCGTGAATAAAATTGTGTAGTGTTATTAAAGAATTTCCACATTCCAATTAAAATGCAAAGGGAGCTTTATAGAGATGAAAGGAGGGTATGGATTCGATCGACATGAATCGATCGAAAAATGAAAAAACGTAATTCGATCGGCATGAATCGATCGACACCGGTTTTTTGATAATTTGTCGATTCACGTTTTCATTTTTCGATCGATTCATGTCGATCAAATCCATACCCTCCGAATGGAATGGAAAAGAATTCTCTATCACGCTATGTAATTCATATTACGTTGGATGTTTACTGTCGCAGATGAAATAGATGTGCACTTGCATACTTCAAAGGGCGGTCACTTTTTTCCTTTCACATGAAATGATTAAACTTTAGTTAGGTTCTAGGGGAAAAACACATCCGGAGATACAGATGAGTAAAAAGATGAAAATCGGTCATGAATGAAATTATGAAGACTTGCGTTCTCCTCTAGCCTTTGTTCAGTTTTTCCTTCTTTCCATCTAAGATTTTACGTTTTCAACCATTTATTACTTTATGCATTCGTGATTTAGTGCTTCGTCATGCAAAATGGCTCCCTCGTATATGTGGCCCGCATGTTTATGCAAAGGAATCATGAATGTATAGCTATTCAGAATTACAAAATTTATGGAGAGGAATTCTAAGTCATAGGATACAAAGGCTCCACTTAAAGGAACGTTTGAAAACACGTAACAACTAGATCACAAAGACGCGCTTAAGGTTGGCTCTTGAAGCTTATTCTTTAAAAGGGTCTTTTCTGCCTATAATAATGTCCACCTGAATTGATTTACCTCAAAAACGTTTGAATTTCAAAAGTAAAAAAAAATTAAATTAACACAGAAAAACAAAGAAAACTGTTTTAGTCAACCCGTTCTGAATCTCGGAGTTTGGAATTCTGAATGTACTAAAGGAGGGCAATCATTGAGATTAAAATTTTTGGTATCTCAGAGATCTTTCTATATTTTTAATCAAAGAAGAGAAAGAAGAAGAAGAGCATTTTACAGAAAGTCCAGACGAATTTCAAATATTTTTCCCGTTTAAAATCACGTTCGTAGTGTTATGAGCTTTTAATGAGCACAGAAACATTATCTTACACTTACATAGGTAGTGATTACACATTCAGTGGCGTGGCGTGAATGATCGAGTATTGATATTTCCCCATTTGAAGCTATGGTGAAGAATCGATTATTAAAGTGTTCGTTGCGAACGCCCTGTTTATCGATATTTTCCATGGGTTCAAATGGCAGATCAATCGATATATCGCAAAGCACGCCACGCCACTGTAGAAAAATCCGCAGCATTCCAAAGTCGACGAATTTTCATCTTATACTTAGGTTTCGCAAATGTAATAATAATCCTCATTTTTTCATATCAGTTCATGAATTGATGTAAAATTACATGCAATAACCTCGAATTAATTTATCACCAAAGTTTGAAAGATTGCTATAAACCATTCTTGTGCAGCACATTACACCTCAGATTGACTTCAAATATTTGTGGTGATTGGATTCAAAGATAAGTTAATATATTAGTACAGACAACCAAGTGAACAGGTATTATAAAGTAAGTCAATTATTTGTTTCTGAAAAGATTACGAAAAACAACAACAACTTGCTTGCCAAGTAAACAGATTTCCAAGAGGGGATATTTTTGATTGAATTGTGTAGGATTCCCTCATTTTCAATTCAATCAATTCAAATCGGAGATCACCTTTCATTTAAATGAAAGTTGTTTTCAAGGATCGACACTATCTCTTGCCTGATGACGACTGTTAAACGTCAAGTTGGGGAGTGTGGGTCTTGCTTGCTGGACAAGCAAAACAATTCCCTAACATTGACTTAATCAGTCATCATTTGGACAGCATTTTGCAATTAGGAACTATAAAGTCCGGCTCAGTTTAAAACAAAAACGTATGTGCCATTAGTTTCCCTATGCACATAAGTGTTTTTTCAGATGAGCCAGAATTTATAGTTCCAAATTGCAAAATACAGTCCATTTAGAGGTCAATCCTGCCGTGTTAAAGAAGAATGCCGTAAAAGCCTCTGGCTGTTGCCAAATTTCGTTTGATAAAACACAAATTTTGGGAGAATTTTACTCGCGATTTGATTTTCAATGTCTGAAAATTTCAATACAAAATGTTTATAACTTCTCTCAAGAATAAATATTTTACGGTCGAAAATTTGGCAACACTCAAACGTTCAAACGGCATTTTGCCTTAGCACGGCAGAGCAATATAGACTGCATTTTGCAATTTGGACCTTTAAATTCTGGCTCATCTGAAAAAACACTTATGTGCTAAGGGAAACTAATGGCACATACGTTGTTTTTAAACCGGGACGGAATTTCTATGTCCAAATTGCAAAATGCAGTCCATATGAAGACCACGTTAAGCAGAAAGCAACCAAGCCATGCTGAAGTCAAATTTAATTGGTCAATTTGATTTTTTACATAAAATTGGTTGAGCGGATTCTTGTGCAATTTTCAATGAATCGTCTGCACAGTACGCTACACAAACGTTCTCTTGTAAAAAATTAAATTGCCCAGTTTAATTTGGCAATAGCTGATGTGGCTTGGCTCCTTTCTGCTAAACACGGTTCATGCAGTAATCTCCGAAACTGATTTTAACACCATCAATGGCTTTTAGTAGGGTCTTAGAGATTCTTAGATGGATCAAGAGGTTAGGAATGTATACTACCTGTGGTTAGACTAATTTCCATGGCCCGCTGTCGGTGGCCGAGGACCTTGAACTGCGGCAGCGACACTTCGTTCGACACGCCGACCGAGTTGGGACCCTCGTTCCATTTATATCGGATATCGCGCATCGTATATCCAACTGTATAACACACAATCCGAAACCTTCACTCATCGCTTCCAATCACAGTACACGTGCAGTGCCTTAGCATGATTTGCCATGAATCGATCGATTTGCCATTTAATCTTATGGGAAAGGATCGATTATCAGGGTTTCCCTAATGATCTATTCTTTACCGTTCCTTCAAATAGCAAAATATCGATACTTGATGATTCATGCTTCGCCACTGTGTACGTGTCGTCCCGACAACAACCGAACCATCGCTGCACCTTCGTCTACCTACCCCACCAGAAGCCGAGCAGCTGGAGCCCATGGACCGGACTTACAGAGTTTCGCTGAGGAGTTTATACCAAAGATCAATACATAACTAACCTTGAGAAAAAATTAGGAATTTAAACAAAAGCATTGGATTGCCAGACGGATAGTGCAGGCACTATGCAACGATAAACGATTCAATCGTTTCAGCGCAGTTATACCGTGCTGTATAATCGTTATGGACCAAGGAATCCATTAATTATTTAATTTTATAAAAACCCCCTCTGAAAAAATTACAGATTATGGAGAGCTTTCCGAATCTTCAAATATTTCCAACTCTGATTTAAGAAAAATTTTGGGCGAATAGCACATTAAATTAGTCTGAAAGTTTTATTGAGAGGTTATGCTGGACGGTATGGATTAGATCAGGATAAAGCGGCAGGGAACTTCAAAACAGAACGAACAATTGGTAAATGTATTCAAGAATTCAGTACCTCCTTTAAGCGAAACTCTGTCAAAACATGAACCCCGCAAAACAATCACGATAATGGAGGCTAATGGACGTCAACTTAGCGACGATTAAAACAAAATCAAGTTTTTTCACCAAAAAATCCGATTGCAGAACTTCCATAAAAAATACAAGTGAAATGATACGGCCAATTTGTTGTTCAATTTGTTGACACCCAGACATTCAGCAGAATTCACTCAGAATCACACAGCTGGAACTTGAAATGGACTGCATTTTGCAATTTGGAACTATAAATTCTGGCCCGGTTTAAAAACAACGTATGTGCCATTAGTTTCCCTATGCACATAAGGGTTTTTTCAGATGAGCCAGAATTTATAGTTCCAAATTGCAAAATACAGTCCTAATACTATTAACGTAAACGCTATCGGCTCTTGTCAGCCCTGCCTCTCACTGTTAGCATTCGAAAATAAAACAGCGATAAAAGAATCTATACTCGCGTTGTTGACGCGTTGCGTAGCCCATCGAAACGCCTTCATCTTGAAAATATGCAATCAGCGCATCCTGAACGTTAAAATAGTTGCCCGCAAGACGCCTTCCAGGTGTCCGAGTTGACTCAATGGATTTGGTGATTTCAAAAAGACACACTTAGTACAAGACTAATACTTTGTAAGACACGGGCAATATTTGTTTTTTTGAGGGGCGATTTATCTCCTTATGTATGCAAACCGACATATTTCACATTTCCTGATCTATAACATCCCATCATTAAAACAGGCGGACTCTGTTGCTATTTCTCCACACCCATTTTCCTCGTTTTCGAGTGATCTGAAAAGGAGCTACTCTTTCACGAAGATGGGGCACAGTGGTGACGTCAGAACTAGAAGAGTATATTACGTCACGAAGTGCCGTCTCCACTCTTCGATTATCAAGACGATCAATCGAGCTGCAGTGTGGGTAATCAAAAGTTCCCGAAACTTCACGTTAACTAACGTTGAGGAGAGGAGGAGGGGGGTGCGGTTATAGCGCGGTTGCCGCCACTTTCTTGAAGGTTTTAAACAGTGGCGAGGCGCGAATACCACCTTAGGCCATGTTTGCTTTCTTGGATTCTAACATTTTGAAAATTTGACCAGAGATTTGAGTTTCTCGTCAAAAAATATCCCCAGATTCCGAGTTTCAAGAAAATCGATCGCACAGGAGCTGAGATAGCATTTTAGGCCCCGTCCGTCATTTTGGAATTTAAAATTTTGAAAATGTCTGTAAAAATTCGAGTTTCCCGTAAAAAAATACCCGGAGTTGCTTAAAAATTACTTGAGCAGAAGTCGAGATTGCATTCATTTACTAAACCTATGCAGTAAAAACGATTCACGGAGAACTTCGAGAAATGTAAATAAAATTTGCGTTATGTTGAATTAATATATGTAGATGCGATGTAATAGTAATATTTGTGTTAATTCAAAATACGCAAATTTTAATTTCGCCGATCAGATGAAATTTGGCAACACTAAATTATCCATAAGCTGATTATTTTGCCAGCATGACAGCATTTAGTGTACTCATAGAGCGCCTAGAAAGTTATTTGATCGAAGTTGTAGAAACAGTGTGCACAACTTCAGGATTGGAGCGCCTTCAAATCGAGTGATACTTCTAGCTTTGCCGGAGAGTTAGTTTAGTTGCGTGACCTAACTTAACCCAACCTGACTCTATTGCGATCGGTTTCCGAGCTTTGTGACTAATGAGGGTCATTAAGACTCGGGTATGTCCGATTACTGCAAAGTCAAAATTTGTTCCTAAGATCCGGAATTACTATTTATGTATCACAATTTGTAGGAAACTCATCAAATTACTTTTCTCGAAGTTCTCCGTGAATTGTTGTTACTGCATAGGTTTAGTAAATGAATGCAATCTCGGCTTCTGCTCATGTAATTTTTAAGAAACTCAGGGTATTCTTTTTACGGGAAACTCGAATTTTTAGAGACATTTTCAAAATTTTAAATTCCAAAATGACGGACGGGGCCTAAAATGCTATCTCAGCTCCTGTGCGATCGATTTTCTTGAAACTCGGAATCTGGGGATATTTTTTGACGAGAAACTCAAATTTTCAAAATTCCAGAATCCAAGATAGCAAACGTGGCCTAAAGTAGTATTTTGGCTATTCAAAAGTACCTATGCTTACAATCAAGATGTGTGTTTATTTCGCATTCATTTTCAAAATTAATTTACCCTCAGCTAATATACACCTTGATATGGGCGCTCTTCAACAAAGATAATTATGTTGAATCTCTCCTGTTCCTGATTATTTCTAGCTGTTCATGACGTCATAAGTACACAACTGTTGACGTCATCGGAAAACCCGTTGACGATTTTATCGGAGCACCCGACTCGATGTTGACGTCATTTGCTTCTTGTTTACATCTTATCAGCCCTAATTTCCGTCTGGGCTGATCGCACGCGTTTTAATGTAGTGGTTTTTTTTTTAAGCCTCGGTTTTAATTTTTTATTTGTGTTTAGCGGTTGATAAAGGCACGGCTGACCAGCCGAGACGTCCTGTATATTGTGTTTATTATTTTTAGTCTTCTTTCCCACTGATTTTTTGTGTCTTTTTGTCGTATATATAATAAATTTAGATAGATATAATGCATCAACTTGTGCGAGAGTATCATTATTTATTTAGTTTCGACGAGGCATGGCAAACACGTTCGACAGGGCAGAGATGACAGAGCCGATAAGGCTGTCAAAAGTTAATAATTTTCGGCGAAGACGAGAAACTGGAATCAGAAGGACAAAAAGGGGGGGGGGGGG